TATGATTCTATGAAATCAACTCTTTGCAACTTAGTATTTATTAGCAGTCATAAATATGCTATAATAGTGCCCAAAAACCTACTTGGAAATCATAGAATATTCCGAGTTGAAAGGGACCCACAAGGATCAAGTCCAACTCCTAAGTGAATGGCCCATATGGGCATTAAGCCCACTACCTTGATGGTGTTCTAACCAACTGAGCCAGTCTAATGTCAGACCAAATGTGGGGTGTTAGGCTTTATTGGTCTTTCAGTTTCTACAGTCACTACCATTAAAGGCTTCTGTTTCAGGCATACATCAGTGGGGAAAAGATAGAATGTACAGGAAGGTAAATACTACCATATGCCAAACTTTTGAAGATGTATTATGTTCACTCAGTGTCTTTTCAAAGACCATGCACATTCAGTGCAGGATGGACTTAAAAAAAAGATAAATTACAGCTGTGCCTATACAACATGGACAGTTGTAGAAGTCAATACTCATTCACCTTCAAAGTCAGCCTGCTGTGAGACAAATTTGGACCAGGAATTGTTTTACTGCTGTGATGAGATAAAAATTTTCCTGTCAACCCAGATTATTACATCAAGCTCAGCAGTGAAATAGTATGACTGCATTTCTCCTACTCAAAGCAATATCTGGATAGGATAGACTAGAAACATCATTACACATATCTTCCAATGCAGATATGGTCCTAGATCATACAAGGAAAATGATAAAAATATGCTTCACCATAGAGTGACAGCAGTTCTCTGAGATAATACATTTTTTACCACACCGAGAAACAAACTTTGCCTGTCTGAGTTCTTATAATTCATTTACTTTTCAGAAATTTAGCAGCATAAATAATTTTTTTTTGATGGATTCAGTAACAGGTCAATAAATCTGGAGATTTTACAATGTAAAAGCAGCAGTAAATCTAACAGGAAAGTAACAGAATGAAATTGTTCTATTTTCTAACACAGAATGGTAAAGATCTGTTTCTGGGCAAAAGAATGTTAAAGCTACACAACAAATCAACAGCAAAATAAATGAAAGTTTATCTAATTATTAGAAAGACTTTCTAACAACTGTTTCTCTAAAGTAAATATTTTTTCCTATGCTTTCTGCTGATTTCCTAATTTAATTGTTTTCAGGATAAGGAAATGAGATAGGAAAATGGAAAACACATTTGAGACACTAGAAATAACATTTATTTTGAATTCTATTGCATTAAATCCCTCTAATGACAGCTTTGAGAGTACAGAATTAAATAAAGAAAGCTAGACTGCTCAAACAGGTAACATATCACATAAGCCTTCATGCTATTGAAAACTGAAATCTTCATAAATGATATAAGGTATGCAGAAAGTTTAAATGATGAAGAATAGCTTTAATATTACTCCATTATGTACAATAATATTACACTAAAGCTTCTAGTTGGGAGTTTGACCCTGGCTCAGGCCCAAGCCCTTTCACACATCTTTAGTGAACCCTTAATGACTACAGACAAAAAGTCTGTAGTCAGTTCAGACAGATTTTGAAATTAATGGATAACTTTATAATGATGAATATTATTTTCAGGTTTTCAATATATGAAAAACGAGGCTCTGTGCTTGAGTGAGAATGATGCCTCATCCAAACTTAGAATCACAGAATGGTTTAGGTTGAAAGGGACCTTGAAGATAATCTTGTTCCAACCCCACTGCCACAGGCATGGACATCTTCCACTAGAGTAGGTTGCTCAGGGCCCCATCCAACTTGGCCTCACTAATGCAGAGTGCAGGAGATAAGGTTCAATAATCCAGTCAGTTTGAGCTGACATGCTGGTTCCTATTTATGTTCAAAGTAAATTCATATGAACATACACACACAAATGTTTGCAAAAAGAGAAAGCATTGATCGAAACAGAATTTGCTACTGCTTGCAAATCATTCTTTAAATTGTTCTCTAAAGACTAATGAACAAATGACACTATATAAAAGATGCAATTATGTTAGTTATTTGTTGATACAACATAGCTACTTTTTACTGACATATTTCTAAGGTAATCAAAAGCTTTATGTAATGATTATATTTAGCTAATACTACTATAACACCAAATCAAATAAATTTTTCCTATAAAATGATAAGGAGCATTATGAATAGGAAAAGTTGAAGGTAAAGGGATTTCCTCAGTAGCTGAGTAACTGAAACAACAGCAAGTGTGACAATTGACTCTTAATTCAATTACAGAGGAATTTTAGAGGATAACTGGCAACCTTAACTAGTTTAAGAAAAGCATTCCCAATAGTACACTAGCAAAATCTAAGTTTCTTACTTGTCAGCTGCCATGTCTGAAATTCAAGCTGAAGATTCTCTCTTCTTTCAGTTTAAAACCCCCTCACAAAATGTGTAAAAAAGTAAACAGAAATGCAAATCATGAACATGTAATAGTTATACATGATAATCTAGGATGAGGTATGTTCTTTGCTAACAAAAACGTAAGCACTTCTAGAACCTACTGACACCAAAAAACCTTTTTATTTGAACAATTCCACTAGAAAATAAAGACAACATGCAACTATGCACGAAAAACCTGTCTACAGTTACTGGAAGTTGTTTTAAGTGGATTTTGAAATGAACAACTTGTAAGAATATTGTTACTTATTGTCATAAATAACCAGTTCAGATGACGCAAGGAAAGAAAACTGCAGTGGTTAACATTTAACCCTTTTCAAATACCGACTATAAAACCGCCCTACATACGCAATCTATGCTACCTGTTTAATATTATTTCCATTGTTTGAGCTGCTTCCACGATGATTTAACCACATACTTAAGTCCTGTGGGATCACTCTTACAAATGAGGTGAAATAGATCCCTGAAATCTTGTAAAACCCAGTTCTGGGAATGGCTGCAGATAGTTCTGAAAATTTAGTATGCAGAAGAAACACATTTTCAAAAAAATTATCAGTAAATATTACTTATACCTGCATATCTTTTAAAACTCGGTCTTCCAGAAACTAATGATTTGAATATTTAATCCCATGATTCAGTATTTAAAACTGTTGGGGTTGAATACATAAGCTTCTGGAAATTTTTTAATTAATAGCCGTATTAACTGAAGTGTGCAAGACAATATTAGAAGAATTAGTTATGAGTTCTGATGAAGCCTGAGGTAAAACCTAACTCCTGAGAAGAATATTTAATAATTTGCAATTGTCCCTCAAACTTCTTTCCCACTCTTTCACAAGCCTCCCCAGCCAGTTGACAATTTCATCGCCTGTCAAAAACCATGATGAGAAAGCTTTTCAAACCTATATAGAAATTTGAAGGTTAAAAGGAAAAACTGAAGTCAGAATATATATCTGGTGGATATCAGAGTATTAAAATTACTTATTTTGCTATGTAAGGTGACAACCATGTTTTTCACCAGATGGTGTTCTTTCAAGACATTGTGCTTCATTCTTTGATAGAACAAATGGGATTAATCAAGTCTGAGGCATACAAATGTGTTCAGGTCTGAGTTCACCAGGAAAGAGAGCTATGTTCTAGCCACTAGCAGACAGAAAAAAGAGTTTTAGGCTGCCAAGGAATGTACCAATGTATCTTTGCACTGTCGTAGTTTTATAATAAAAGAGAAAAATAGTAATAACAGCTTGAGGTTTATGGTAATTTTCAGCTAAGGGTCTCAGTAACTTGCCTGCAAAAAAAATAGAATGCTTCTTGGTTACAGACTTTCTTCATGTGATATTGATCTGTACTTTATAGTTGTGTTTTGGTTTTTGCTTTTTTTTTTTTAATCAGGACATAGGCTGCCTATCCTAGTATGGGCTTCCTTTATACTAACTCACAGAACTTTTCTCTTTTCCTTTTTTCTTTTTCTTTTACTTGAGCCTTCTGGCCTTATTTTACCTTAGTTCTTGTTCTTAAATGCTTCTTTTATTTTTGATAATTTTTGGGTCATGGTTATTATTATTATTCAAATGCAATTTTAAAGACTACAGAAAAGCTCTAATACTTCTAAAGAAGAATTTATTAAGTTTCATTAAAATTCCTCTCCTGTAGCACAACTTAACATCTGATATGATGGCTTTATGCATACTATGTATACGTACACAGTGAGACCTTTTTCAACATTGAACTCTCTGCATATGTTTACAAGTGTTACACAGCAAATTTTTCTCAAATATGTCTCTTGGTACCATGAAGAATCAAACTGTAAAAAAGCTGAATTCAAAAATACTTAATCTTCAGTCTACAAGAACTTTTAAATATAAATGCTAGTTGCAACTTGAAGATAAATATTGAAGTCTGTTACTTTCAGAACTTAAAGAAATAAAAAAATAGAATGTGAAAAATAAAATTACTTCTATATCAGGGAGAACATACTGTCATTTTCAGAGACACAATGAAAGAGCTTGAACACTCAGATTCTTGTAGAGACAATTGGTCTCCTGAGGTTGGGTTTAAGGCACACTGGAAAGGCTGTAGGTGTAGTATTAGTAAATGTTTCTACTACCTTTTTAAGTCTGCCATTTTAAGTATTCCCTGAGCACAATAATGCAAGCATTTTAAGACATAACATTATAAGGCATTATCATTATAATAGCTATCAGCTATACATTACAAAAGATTCCAAGTGCAAATGCTGCCAACATTATTCAACTAGTAGCAGAATGTCAAGCCACTCTGAAGGAATGCAGAGATATATGTCCACCTAAAATAGTTCAATGTTTTTAGTGAATTATGCTCAAAAGGTCTTCTTTTCAGAGAATTTACTCAAAGATTCAAGGGCCTGCAACTGAATTTATACTCTGGTTTTGTAGGGTTGTCCCAGAGAGTATTCACATCAGCTTGTAAAAGCCATCAGCACCTTGAGAGAGCTTTAAATTTAAAACCCTGTATTTGTGGATACAGAATTAGCACAATATGACTGATATTGAAAATAAAGCTTTCCTGTTTTGGTTCTCATTTGAATGATACGCTGTAAATCATATTAGAATAATCCAATAAATGTTCTCTTAATTAATTACACTAACCTGTTTGTCTAGAAAGAAGAGGTAGTCTGTGAACAGAAGAGCTGAAATCTTTTGCCCCTTTCAGACTAAAACAGCTAGACGGGCTCTGCCTATCTTCCAAGTTTATAGAGAGAGACTGCTCCAAGACTGTAGAACAAGTAGAGCTGGCATTAAGCTGGAAAAGAGCATCTTGTGCTTTCTTTTTTTCTTTTTTTAGCATATTTACCAGAATATCTGCAAGATACATTAAGGAAATAATTAAGAATTAATTTTTTTTTAATATATATAGACCAACAATCATCCACCTTAGTTTTTCTAAAACTAAGATTCATTTTTACTAAACACTAACAAATTCACACATTGACCACAAATTGTTGATCCTATTCAATCAATTCCTGATAAAAGCATTTACATACAAACAGGAAGGAAAAGTCTAGGATCTTACTGCCATTGTGTGACACTTCCTTTTTATTTTTAAAATTTTGTAATAAACAAGACTTCCAAACAAAAGAAAAAAACCTTTTAACTTGCAGGTAGCCTCGCAAGTGTTTAGGCTTTTCACAGTAAGAAGGTTTATTAAAATGCAGAAAAGGTCTTTTGGAAATTTCTTGCAATAACACTATGCATTTACTGGAAGTATATTTGGTATAAACACGTTTTGCCTAACAGCTCATAGAGGGCGTACAATGGAAATCCTGTGTGTGTTCAGATGAAACCACAGAAGTCCCTGTGATATGTTTTTGATATGTTATTCATTTTAATCCTAATTAATCTTCTAAATGAACAGCAGAAAAGCTAAGTAGTCTTTAGGGAATATTATTTACTTGACTAGGTAGTAATAGTAAAACACTTTCCAATTCAGTTGTTATGACTGAATAGCTTCTAGTTACTGTAGGCAAGAAGGAACTCGTAGTTTATTAACTAAACAGCTTCCATACTTCCCACCACTTCATCACATTAGATATGTTATTAATGTGATGATGTACAGTCACATAACAACTCTCTAAATCAGTCTTGTCTTCAAAGTCTTAAGTCTTATATTCTTCCTATATAATTCTAACATGGATTTCCACAAATTTCCTCCTTGTACAAACAAAGCTGTGTAAATCTACTGAGCAAAAGTGCATTTGATGGAGATATTTTGCTTTTTTTCCCATACTAATGAAATAATTCATTTCAGGAAGAAATGTTTCTGGGAATTCAGACATTAAAATTGACATAAAATTGAAGTCTTTTTTGAAAGGAATGAGTCAGTGTTTTAGATAAATTTATTTGAAATCGCACCTTGGAAAATGAAAATATTATCATCTGTGACAGAGCAGAATTAGAGAAGCTTTCCCAACACCTCCATTCAGACTGGTAGCATGTTACACCCCAATGAAAAATGCTATTTTCATTTGACATTTAAAATTCATCAGGAATTGCTGAGCACAAAGAACGCAACCGGGTTTGCTCTTTACTAGTATCTGTGAGAGAATCTCTGTTATCTTTAAACTTAGGAAACCCATATTTTCTTTTCTCTGCCATATTCAAATTTTACCCACTGAGCAGCCACAAAGTTAGGGACACCCTGATGTTGCAGTTTGCCCACAGTTCTGTCAATCTGCTAAAAATAACTCTCACCCACTGCGCTACAGCACAGCTACTCATGTTTCTTGTGAGGCAGTGAAATGGTTGAAGCACGTCTGAGCAGTTTAGTATTTTCATGTCCAAAAAGCTTTAGCTTTAAATTTTAAAGTTAACTGTAAAAAGTATAACTTTTATATTTGTTCTAAAGGCATATAGCCCAATAGTCCCCAAAGTAGCACTTCATTTGGCTAAAAATAACACATACAGGAAATTCTATTCTTTGTAAGGTAATAAATTGGTTTTTATACTGCATGAGAGTTTTCCCCTCTAAAAATGGTTTAATTTGCTTGAGGAGAGTGTTTTAGGTGTGACCTGACCCACACTATTTGGATATTGGGTGGACCATTCTAAAGCTAAGTGGCCCTTGGATCCAGGATTTTGATTTGGGTTACAATTGAAAGAGATGCAGGTGCAAAGCAGAAGTCCTGTTACACAAAAGTTGGGAATTGAATATTTGCTCATTTGCTTACTGTATTTGCTTTAACACAGGGGGGGGCAGCTTCCATACAGCCTATCTCACACACACAAAACCCATTGTAAGCCAAACTGTAAGCCCATCTCAAAACAAAATAATATTTTTTCCTCACAAAGGATACTGATTTCATTGTCTCTTTGCTGCAGAAGGTCTTTAAGTTTTTCCAGTTCTTCTCCTGATTCTATGTTAGTGTCTTCTTCTTCAGAGATGTTTTGTGAGAGCAGTTTTTTATCAGAAGTTGTGGAATGATTCATTAGTTGCTATTAGGAGAAACAAAAAAAGCATACTCTTTTAACTTTACCTCCAGCTCAGTATTATTCTACTCTGAGATGGTCTAGCTATGGTACAAAAGGTAAAGCCTTTCTAGGCTCTTGGCAGAACAAAATCATGCCACCAGTTGACTGTCAACTTATATCTACTGTGTCAAGTAGGGAACAAATTGTATTTGTTAATCTTCACTACCAAGAGTACAGTTTACTTTACTCTTTCTAGACATAAATTCCAGCATTCTCTAGTATGACAGAACTTTCAATATTAACAATATAACTAAAAATAATTATTTAAGGACAATAAATTAAGATCAGGAATGCATACATTGTTTTATTGGAAAATTGTATCCCAAAATACAGAAAAGTATTATCTTCTATTGTTTTCCTGACTAATTTCACAATTAACAAGCATATCTTGTTTGCTCAATGATTCGGAAAGGCTTGCAACACCTTCAAGAGAGTTAGTGTAACAGATTCAGGGATTTAGTGGTTTTAATCTACATTTTTATATCTTTCAACATAATTGTCCAAAATAAGGCTTCCACAGTGCTGGAAATACAGACAGGAGGATCAGCCATATACAAATGACTAGTCTCTGTTGATTCCAATAAGTACCAGTGCTCTATTACAATTTACTGCATGCTGAGATCCTTGCTGAGGTTTCCACAAAACGCTGGTGAATTTTTCCAACTGAATTTAAAATTTCTATGAGTCCTCCAAGCACCTCAAAGTTCAGGTTTTTTACCCTTTACCAGCACCCCTCAACTGTATTGCATTTTTTCTAACACTTTTCAACCATGAATGTCTTCAAGTTATTTTCAGAGTGTCAGCTGCACTTCCATCTATGTTTAAAAAAAATACCTTCATATGAATGAAGCAATACTTGATCTTGCGCATGTCAGCACCAACATCCAGAGTGCTATCAGGATCATTATCTTTGAGAAATGTTTCAATTAACTCATCCAACCTGAAAATACATAGCATTTTTTAAGAGAAGAAAAAAAAAATCACAAACAAGCAGACAGCAATGCAAAGTGGTGTGTCAAATACAATACAAAAGGTCCATGCATCTGAAACGTACTTTCGTTCCGATTACTAAAAGCTAGATTTGATACTGGAGATCCAACAACTGCATATCTGAACACACTTGCATCTGCTAAGCAATAGTTCTAGAACTAACAGCATCTAAAAAGTAATATTTTCTTTTCCTCATCTATTTTATAACCTTTTATTCTTTTGCTATCACATAATTGACAAAACCAAAAGCCTGCCCTCTCAGAAGACTAGATTTTTAGAGGCTTTGGACAGAGGATTTGCTACTATATATGATTATTTGTGCAAAAGAAAAGTCTACTTCCTTTTCTATTACAATAGTCAGCAGACAGCATAGCTTTCATACATAAAATTACCCACTCCAACCACCAAGCAAAGCAAACTATCTTTTAATGCAGATATTTACAGATTTCTCAAAGACCTACTGCTCTTCTTCTGAATAATGAAATGCAGTAAGTATTTTATTCTCTTGCAATGTGTTCTTTACAAACAACTGACAAAATCTTCCTTAGGGAGATACTATTCTTATTTCAGTAATTCAGTCTTCATAAGACAATCTGGCACATAGAAGCCTTTTTATTTTTCAAAACCAAATTAAAACCTGGAAAGCTACATGGCCATAATATACCATGCTTCTAAGCTGGATGTCACAGCTATATTGATAGAGTCAGACTTCCTCTTGCATGCTCTCACCATCTTTCCAGGTTTTGCATTCCAGGATGCATTGCAGATCATTCTCAAGACAAAGGGAAGAGGATTTCTAATCCCACACTAGCCCCTTAACCCACCTACTATGGTACATTTCTGGAAAACAGCAAGTGCAAGTTCAAACTCCACCAAATGGTTTTAGATTTATGGCTTCCTGGTTCCTGACGGATGCTATTACAATTATTTAGAAGGCAAATGGTGGGAAACAATGACAGGCATATACCCTGTAGAGCACAATTTTATAATTTTAAATGCTTATTTAGCTTATTATCCTCAGAAGACAAACTTAAGTTCTGAACCTGAGCCAAGGTACCTAAGGTAGCTGCAGCCAGTACCCAACTGTCTGAAAAGGGCAAGAGTTCAGAACCATCTCTGTGCCTAGTGTTTCTTTTGGATGAGTTTTGTTCAGCTCCTCAATTAATATGCAAGCCTTTTGAATGTTATTTCATAGTAATTTAAGTGATTTAGCAGTTCAAGGATTGTGAAAACAACATATGAATTTATATAGTAGGAAGATTTTCACTTTTACAAATGAAAAAACCTAACAATGCTACTTCATTTGCAGAGATGTTAACAAAATAAATCAAGGAGACAATAAAGAATCACAGGAGTAGGGGAAAGAACACAACTGAGAATAAGTACAAAAAAAGAATGCTGACTATACATTTTCTTTTGCCTAATATAGATTAGACAAGGTATGTCTGCTTGCTAGGTGGCACAGAAACAAATGACAACAGAATTTACAAGGTGAATATCCTTTTACTTATCATATTCCTGACTCAAACAGTTTATTATATTAATCTCTACAAATATCCATAAAAATGAAATTAAATATATAGAATATATGAAAACTTGAGCACAAAATTATGTAAAATAGGGCTGCAAAAGATTTACGTATTTCATATAGGACATGCACAGTTAAAACTCCAACCCGTTCTTTCTAATCAAAACATTTCACACAGGCTGTAGTTGCCCTCCTATCGAAAGGGAAAAAGTGAGAAAAATCTTTCTAAAAGTAAAGGAGAGCCAAAATGGCTTTTGGTTTTCATTCCATTTCTTTCAGGAGATGGATAATACCCTTCTCCTCAGCAATAACAGTATCTTCTGAGGTAGTCACCTATCTTTGATCCTTAGTTCTCTAACAGAGGAATGTGTAGTAAACTGTTTTTCTCCAACCAAAGACTGTTGCAAGAGTATACATCAGTAAGAACTGAACCAGAAGAGCACATAAAACAGCCCAGCAGTGAAAAAAGTTGGGTCTACGTGCTCAAGAGGAACAAGAAACCCATCGACAACAAGAATTCCAGAGAACTCCCTAGCAAATCTCGTCTTTACTTGCCTACCTAGAGGCACATGTATGTGGCAGAGCAAAGGTAATGTGAAATCATGAGGCCAAGTAACATTGTTCTTTTTCTAAAGGACCTTTTTTCAACTCAGGCATAAGAGAGTAATAAAAAGGCATAGAAAGTAAAGTATTTTTAGTCAGTTATTGTGGCTCAGCCCTGAGACATACACCTAGATGTCTCTTAGTCAGTCAGTCAGTATTTCCTGGAAGAGTTGCGAACTATCGTTTCTTTTGAAAAAAACCAGAGCAATCAAACCTTACATTTATTGATGACCAGCTTCTGCTATTACGCCAAGGATAATGGTTAACATCTGCATGTCCTCTCAAAAGAGAAATTAGGAAATTGCCCAAGGAAGGTTATTTTGATAATGAACTTGCTAAAGGAAAGAGCATGCTTGGCACAGAATGCATACCATATTTGAAAAATTTCTAAGTTTGTGACTGAGATTTTCTTCTCCCAAAACAACCTAGGCTGAAGCTTAATTTCTCCATGACACATATTACCAAAAGTCACTGAGAAAATAATTTAGAAAAATCAGAGATATTCATGTACATAGGTTTTATTACATGACTGAGGGTGCTAAGGTAACTCATAAACTAGAGGGGACAAAAAAAGCCCAAACACTTTTGTTAAAACTTATAAACAAAACCAGCTAGAATTAAGAATGAAAAAAAAATCAACCAAGAAACATATCAAAACTCCTTTCTAGAGTATTAAATACATATATGAACACTGCTGCTTTCAGTATGGTTTTTTTTTCCTTCCTCGACTGTATTTATGAAGACTAGAACTACAGCAGTGATGGACCTTACTGTTATACAAGAGATGGACTTCAGAAGTGATGCCTGCTCAGCTGGTGCTACGAAAAAAATTCAGGAGCCGTAAGCTGGGGTGAGATAAGAAAGGGTTTAATTATGCCAAGGCAATAGATGTTACACGGCGCGCGCGCGCGCTGTGCCCAAGATGTTACATTTATAGCAATATCTGCCCAATCCCAAGTGTGTCCATCCTCTAACTTTTGGCCTGGTCCACCCCCTGGCCCCCCTCTCGGAATTGGGTCTGGGGTGCTTTTTGGGACCCCCTCTTCATCATCTTCATCATCTTCAGCGTACAGAGAGCAGGGTGACCCAGTTCTTTGACTCTGTCCTGCGGTTTAGGCCAAGATACAAGCGTTCTCCAAACAAGACAGGCCTGCCTTGACTAAAAGACTAAACATCATCTACTGGATATGGGGGTAGGGTGATATAGGGAGTACGGAATGGGGTGAAAGGATTGAGGAATATAAACGAAGGGATACTACGGGGAGGAGGGAGAAAGGGGTTTATTTCTAAAATCTACTTCTATTACCTATAAAACTTGTAAGGCTTATAAAATTAGAAAAATGAAAAAAACTTAGGGGTTTAAGGCATCAGAAGAAATAAATTCCTGTTTCGACATTCTATTTCTTTATTACAACTTACAAAATGAGCTTTGCAAGATATCAATCAGCAGCAGAAAGAAAAATCCCCTAACTAAAACAAAAATTCAATACAATCAACCCAAAGACTTAGTAATGAAAAAACACCAAAAACCACTCATTGGAGGAGAAAACTGAACAAAGAGATGGTCTCTACACTATCATCTGAAGATCAACGCCAGGAATTTCACTTCACACTGAAGATACCTTTATAAAAAAATACTTAGCCCCAAGATTTCACACTGCTCTGCTTAAAAAGTTGAAGTGCACTCAGCTTCATGGGAAAAAGCCATGATGGAAACTGTTTAATTAACTGAAATTCAATGGAAACATAATTATGGGATTAGGTAGAAAGACTGAATTGAAAATTACTGAATTGCTTACTTGTCACACTTAACTGCTACAGCGGAAATATTCAGTATGTATCTGTATTTCAGAATTTGATACTCTTTTAAGGTAAGACGGTCACTTTAACTTATTTAAATTTGAGGGCGTTTTGTTATACTGGTGAGTTACATCAGAAAAGACTACATTAATCTGAAATAAAAGTAACTAAACACAAGATACTTCCACTGAAAGTATTAAACTAACATAAGAAACCTCCCTAAAAATACATTTTAGAAATCCTAAAACCTCTATTTTTGCGTAGAAACAAATATTAAAACAAAAGTCTTTCATCTGTTGTAGTTAATAACATTAGCAAGCCAGCTGCTACATTATTCATTAATTATAGCTTACTCAGCCTCTCAATAAGGCTGCCATGCAGAATTTATGCTAATCAAAACTGGAGCATAGATAATCACAGTTAATTTCACACAACAGCAAAATCAGCATCATATGAAGATGTCTCATAACTCACAGAGATCCAAAATGGTTCCATTTTTTCCCTTTTCTCTTGCATGTTGTAAGGTAAAGGAGGTTACAGAGCATTAAATATTTATTATTTAATGTTATTACAGTAGATGAAGCCTAAAAAGGCAATTTTTCATACATTTCCATTCTTACTTTTAGGACTACAAGGTTCTGCCCTGAGGACAGCAGGCCTAACTTATACTAATAAGAGCAAGGGTGTGCTGAGGCCTATTGCCAGAACCCTGCTGTATCAGAAAGAATAGTTTTCCCAACAGAAATTCCCCAAAGGAGGAAGAATATGAAAGTATCAAACAAAGACCCATTTTCTGTGAAAAACAGCAATAAACAAAGAATGGGGTTTTATTTCTCAGTGCTAACCAGAAAAAAAACAACAAACAAACAGATTACACACACACACAAAAGCTTTCTAAGTCAATGTATAATGTGAGTTAAGAGATTAATTTAAAACTAATTTTGATAGTGACCTATGAACATAGTACAAAAATAAGGGTATTGCAATGCTGATCCAGGCAAGTTTGAATCATGAAAACA